TAGGCACAAAATAAAATTATGCTCCATTGTAACAAACTTGGACAAAGTTTCCATGCGAACACATGTCTGTAGAATCTGGAAATTTCCCAAAATAGTCACAAGAAAACTAGGTGCCTTTAGAAACAGATTCCTGAAAAGGATCATATCAATTGGACTGAAAATTTCTTCACCACCTAAAAAAAAATCCAAGAAATCACTTGACCAACAAGTAGTTTCTACCAGAATAAAAGTGTAGCACTTGGCAAAATTTAAGCATGTGTATTTTAATTTTTAAAAATTGGGTTTTGGGGGCACCTGGGTGGCTCATTCAGTTAAGTGTCTGCCTTCAGCTCAGGTCGTGATCCCAGGGTCCTGGGATCCAGCCTTGTACAGGGCTCCTGGCTCAGCGGGGAGCCTGCTTCTCCCTCTCCCTCTGTCCTCCCCACCACCACCGTGCTCTCTCTCAGTCTCTCACTGGCTCGCTCTCTCTCAAATAAAGAAATGAAAACTTTTTTAAAAATAAAAGAAAAAATAGGGCGCCTGGGTGGCTCAGTCGTTAAGCGTCTGCCTTCAGCTCAGGTCATGATCCCAGGGTCCTGGGATCGAGTCCCGCATCGGGCTCCCGCTCAGCGGGAAGCCTGCTTCTCCCTCTCCCACTCCCCCTGCTTGTGTTCCTGCTCTCGCTGTCTCTCTCTGTCAAATAAATAAACTCTTAAAAAAAAAAAAGAAAAAAGAAAAAAAATTGGGGTTTTTAAAGTAAGCAATACGCCCAATGTGTGGCTTGAATGTACAACCCTGATATCAAGAGTCACGTGCTCTACTGACTGGGCTAGCCAGGTGCCCCAAGCGTAAATATTTTAAACAGGATGAATTGGATTTCTACATAAAGCTTTTTGGAAGCTAAATTAAATTCAGAGCTAAGGCATAAAAAGAAACACCAGGACTAGCTCTGGATACTTCTCCGTATCCATTAAGTGGAACAGGTGGACAACTTTGTAGCAATGGGATAATCTTAGCTGCCCTTCGTCAAGTAGTACTCAAAGTAAAATATAATGGCTTAGCAAGGAGGGGGAAAATCATAACAGAAACATCTTTTTGAAGGTGATCCTGTGTAATTCTAACAGGAAGCACAAGAACATGAGGTTTAATGGAAACATTTTTCAAACAGAACAGTAAAGTAGTGACTTAATGCAGGTCATCATCAAAGCAGCAGAGTCGTCAATGGTATGGCTAACTCGTTCTACTTTGTACATGTCTCTATGAAACACAAATTCACCCTATGTCATAATTTTGAGCAACTGGCAGTCAGAAATGATCTCTTCCTCTCCTGTTTTGTTTTAAAATTCCCCGCACCCAGCATGGTGCATAGGTGTATAGTAGGTGTTCAGTCTAGAGAGGCTTTGTGTTTTAAAGTAATGTGATTATATGATTTAAGACTTTGCACTGTTTCTAGATTTACTCATTATCACTGAGTTTGTCTAATAGGCATATGACTTACTCTGCTTGAGCCACAATATCCAGTCTAGACCAATTATTCTAACCTCCACCTTGGACTTTTAACTCTGCCAGATGCTATTTGACAGTAGATTCTCCAATACTGAAAACCTTGCCAGGCATACATTATGTGGATGTATAATTACAGCTTTCTAGTACTCTGTATGGTATTATTAGCTCAAGCTGTAGCTCATTTAGAGTACATAATTACAGCACACTCAGCAGTGAGCACTGACCTACAAAAGGGGGGTGGTGGTGGTTTCTGGTGCTACTTTCTTATCTACTTCAATTGACAATATATGTAGTTTTTACTAAAATTCCAAATTTTAAGGAACTTTGATACTCACACTACATTTTCATCTACCTTTGGAATATCTAACATCACACTGATATTTTAGAGCTATTATTTCTGCTAATGATTATTGAATATTACTATTATTTGAATCACACTTCAATTTTTAAAATTCTTTCCTCTGATAGGTTTCTGGTGGAAAACACCAAGGGACAAAATGGTACAAAAGAGTGCAAGTCTTAAAGGAATGTTCTGCTGGAGAGTTATCATTTGTTAAATTTTTACAGTGCCTAGGGCATATTCACACCTTCGGAAATGACACTTTCTTGTCATCATTCCATTTACATATTTTACAGCTTCAAATATCCCTCTTTAAGAGGCACAGGAGTTAGCCCTTAAGCAAATGGTAGTCATAGGTGTATTCCCATGGGGATCGGGATTGTTCTGGACATGAGGTATTAAGTTTTAGAGGAACTTGGGAGCGGCAACAAGGAAGCTTCAGTTTGCCTGGGCTTCTCCTCTCTGCCCAGCTTCACATCGTTTGCTCCCATGTCACTATTAGACATCTCAGCTGAGCTACTTTTCCTTTGCCTCCATGTTCCTCTAGGATTTACTTGCATTACAAGAAAGGTTAAAAGCTTAACCACAACATATGGCATTTAACTGAAACTCAGAATATCAATAATTGAAGAACTTTAATTTTTTTTAAAGATTTTATTTATTTATTTGAGAGAGAGAGAATGAGAGATAGAGAGCATGAGAGGGAAGAGGGTCAGAGGGAGAAGCAGACTCCCTGCTCAGCAGGGAGCCCGATGTGGGACTCGATCCCAGGACTCCAGGATCATGACCTGAGCCGAAGGCAGTCACTTAACCAACTGAGCCATCCAGGCACCCGAAGAACTTTAATTTTTAAAAAAGATGTCCTGAAGACTGTTCTTTTACCTTTCCTTAACTGAATTGTCATAAATAACAAGAGCTAATGCTTTTGTACATTATTTCACATTTGTAAATATCTGTGAAACTTAAGAAGAAATCATTTTAAGTGTGCAGTATATTTTCCACTTTATTCAAGGACTCAATATTTTAATTCAAAGAAATGGATTTTTAAGAAAGAAGCTTCAGTTTTCAAACTATTCATAATTTGCATTTTAACTGGAATTTTAAACATCCTGAAGGTGAAAGCCATGACTGCTTCAATATTAAAGACCTCTTTCCATTTCCAAATACATATAAAACTAATTTTCATTTATGTGGTTGCAAGTTCACATGCTAATGTAGGCAGGAGAGTTGATTTTAATTCCATAAAAGTCTTTTTGGTATTATGTAAAAAGATTCTTACCAGCATAATCAGTTAACAAAGTTATAAAAAGCTTTTATTTTATGTGTGCATTTTTCAGACTGTGGTTTGACCAATAACACACACACACACACACAAACTTTTCTTTATGTTAAACCATGTTATAATATGGTTTCACTTAAAACATCTTGTTATAATATGGTTTCACTTAAAACATCTTGTTATAATATGGTTTCCCCTAAAACATCTTGTTATAATATGGTTTCCCTTAAAACATCTTGACATTTCCCTTACACTGGTCTTGTGACCATTATAGAACCAAATGACTATTAGGAAATTCAGTGATAGATACATAAACAGAAGGGGCCTCTCCTGATAGGTGTCAATAAAGTACAGATATGTTAGAGCTGTTTGAGATCATTTGGACTAGCGTTGTCATTTACAAACAAAGGCTCAAGGACATCAACCGAACTTGTAACACTCATACTGTCTCTAAAGGTAAAGTCTGATGTCATCACCATCATCATCGTCGTCGTCATCAAAGAGATTGCTAAAAGGAAAATCAACTAGTAATTTGCAGAAAGAACTATTCTTATAGTATTCATGTAGACACATACTATATAGTGTCTAATGATTAAGGCCTACCATCTCAAAATGTTGAATGAGAATACCTGGGTTCAACATATCAGCCTGAAATTTATTAGAAATGATTTATAGGAAACATGTATATTAGATACCATGAATGATTTTTAAAGTTAATAAAAGGAAGAAGGAAGGGAGGGAGGGAAGAAGGAAGGAAAGATAAAAGCAATGCCTGTCTTCCAAAAACTTATTTTTACTTGGAAAAAGGTATTGCTATTGAACACTTTGTTTAGCCTCTATAAACATTTCAATATTATACCAGTCTCTGCCATTAAATGAAAAGGTCTTCAAGGACAGAGAGCTTATCTTGTTTACTGATTTATCTCCCAGAATAAGTACCTTCCATTAATAGCATTTGCTCAGTAAATGCTTCTTGAAATGAATTCTGTTACTATTATGGTGCATCCAATACCAATGATAGAATGAATCCTTCATCCTTTATATACCATTTCAACCTCATTAATGTACATCCAACACATCTTTTGCATAAAGAACAATTAATATTATGTTTTTTAAACAATAATTTGTACAAGTGAGTTTGAAAATCCTCGAGGGAAAAGTCAATGATGAAATAATGACTGATTTAGAAATATCCTCATTGACACTCCTGTTAGTCATTTAATTGAGATTTTGTAGGTAAACTAGTAATCTCAGTTAAAGATGAATGCTTTGATTCTGCATGCCTTTATTAGGTTACACCAAGTTGAGAGAGAAAATATCTAAGTGAAAGGCAAGGAAGGAGGGCGCCTAGGTGGCTCAGTCGTTAAGTGTCTGCCTTCGGCTCAGGTCAGGATCCCAGGGTCCTGGGATCGAGCCCCACATCAGGCTCCCTGCTCAGCGGGAAGCCTGCTTCTCCCTCTCCCACTCCCCCTGCTTGTGTTCCCTCTCTGCTGTGTCTCTCTCTGTCAAATAAATAAATAAAATCTTTAAAAAAAAAAAAAAGAAAGAAAGGCAAGGAAGGGTGTTATAAATTGGATGAGGCCCCTGAAGAGAGATGATCCACTGATAGGCATTTGGTCTATTTAAGGGAGGAAGTGGAGTTTGGTTGTCAAAGAGGGGGGGTCTATTAGGAATCAGTCGAACAAAGAACAGAAGCAAAGACATAGAGGTGAAAGGGTTAAGTTTGTGATATAGCAACATATATGATTTTTATTAGCACAATAAATAACACAATGGAGCAACAGACCTAATAACCTCTGAAATTGCCAAGTTATACTGTGAATGATATTTTAAGATTTCTGGAACAACTGGAATGTGATATGAAAATAGGTATAATTTCTGTTGACAAATTCATAGAAACTGTTAAGACTGCTGTTGTTTGTTGCCTTCATTCATAATTGAAGGAAGTCTGAATTTAATTAGAGATAAATGAAAATAGAGATGTCATTTTTTTCCCCAACTAGGTTCATGGACCCCTGAAATGTATGCATAGTTATCCTTGGCTCATGCTTTCCTTTCACCCACCCTGTGTAAGAACCTTAAGGACCCTGTACTAGACTCATTCTGTGCCATTCAAAAGAACAGAACTAGGCTCAGTGGGTTCATGTTATAAGAAAGACAGATTTCTACCTGAAGCTAATATAAAACTGTATGTTAACTACACTGGAATTTAAAAAAAAAAAAAAAAGCCCACACCAACCAGTAAAAGCATTTGAGTAACAATGTGTTTCATTTCCGATGCATATTTTAGAAATAAATACTAAGATTATATAACTGTCCCCCAGAAAAGACAGATTTCAGTTCATCATAATGGAGAGCCTTCTCAACAATTAAAAATCCTCAAAAATAATAGACCACTTAAGGTAATGAGCTTTTCATCAATGAAAACTTCAACTAAGGTTGAATATGATTAAATAAGGATTTCTATATTAGAAATGATATTGGGTCCCAATTTCATAAAATATAAGGAGAACAAGGCTTTCTAGAGATGTGCAATGCAACAGGTCTGGCAACCTTCGCCAGTCATGGTCCTTTACATTCATCAACTCATTCAATTCTTTTTTTTTTCTTTTTTTTTGAGAGAGAGAGCACATGCACATGGGGAGGGGCAGAGGGAAAAGGAGAGAGAGGATACCAAGCAGGCCCCATGTCCCGCCTGGAGCCTGACTCGGGGCTCAATCTCACCACCCCGAGATCATGACCTGAGCTGAAACCAAGATTCAGACACTCAACTCACTGAGCCACGCAGGCATCCCACAACTCATTCAATTCTAACAGAATACTGGGGAGTAGGCATTATCTCATGAATATTAGCTTAGTTATTTTTAAGTATCTTGGCCAGGCCAAACATCTCAGAGGTAGAATTCAAATCAAGGGCTCTCAGGCCCCAAAGGTTAGTAGTTTCCACCTGAAAACTAGAGTTAATAACACCTACTTCTAGAGTTGTTATGAAGACTTCAAAAAAATAATATATGACAAGTGCATATGCCAGATGATCACAGATAATAATATTCTAGGTGCTTTACATGTATGAACTCATTTCATCTTCACAGCAACTCTATGAGGTAGATTATATTATCATCCCCATTTTACAGAAGAGAACACAGAAACACTAGGATGTTGAACAGCTTGCCAAAAGTTATACAGCCAGTAATTGGATTTGAACCCAGGCAGTCTGACTCCAGATTCCAAGTTGGTAACTATGTTACAGGATTTCTATTCCTTTAGTGCCGGCAGTTCTTGGTCACCCCACTCTGAAGAATGAAGAGGTGGACCAGACAAAGAGTGGTGGGCACCAAAGCAAAGTTTATTGAGCAAGAGTACAAAGCTCCTAAAGAGAGAGGGTACCCGAGACGGTTGCCATTGGAGTTTCTAAGTTTAGGGGTTTTTATGAGCTCTTTTGCAGAACTATCTTAAGCAAGCAGGGTGTGCTGAGTTGTGCCAACCAGGGCTTTGATCACGTATCTGTCTACCTAATAGGTTAATGTTTTTGTGCTAATGGTCTTTTTTGGGCTGACATCTGGGGGCTTATGTCTTAATTGCCCCTTGCTCGTGATAGTGACAAATGCTTTGTGGTTAATTGTTTTATTTTGGGACATTTTGCAGAAGTCATTTTTGCAAAGGCTGCAAGCAGAATGCTAGTGTGTTCCTGTTTTAGCTGCAAAACAGGATGTTAGTGCTGTTCTGTCTCTGCTGTCCCAACTCCATATTTTCTTGTTGGGGACCCTGGCCCTGACTACCTAACTGTCCGACTAACTCCTAACAACTACTATGCTGTGCTAGCACAATTTGTTTTATGTTTGCAAGATTTCTCTCCCCAACAAGACAGTTATTGTTTGAGGGTAAAAAATGGAAGTACCTTAATAAAACTAAGCTTGTTTGGGACATATAAATTCAAAAAAAAATTTTATTGGTCACTGCACAGCCCATAAATGTTCTGTACTGAAGATCTCAGACTGTCATGCTATACTACATTTACTTTACATGCCAATATCTAGGCAGGTTAGAGTTTCTCACTTCTTGATTCTTACTCCTCTGCTTCTGTCAGGGCTGTTGGATGAATCAAAAACAAATGACTGAGACATAGCAAAAAAATCTGGGCAGGTCTGCTCTCCAATTTAGAGGGAGATCAGCAACAAATATCAGCTTTACCGAAATCCCTTTGCAATACAGACGATAATCATTTAAAAGAACCTTAAAATTTCATTTGTAGATTTCCTCCCCCTCTGCCCTCCTGCCGTATCTTTTTTGTTCCCTCACCACAGCAAGGATGACTCTTCAAAAGGAAACACAAAAATTTCAAAATAATGAAATAAAAGTACAAGACTTTTCAGGATCCATCCCTATCAGTTTGACTCAGAACCAACTTGTTTTGCCTCTGTTGCCTGTTTCTCTTAATCATTAATGTTATTATTTATAATCTCTGAAGACTTTTTGTTCATGGCTGGTCACTGAATGTACTCTGAGGAAGAAACAAGAACCACTCACTCTCAGGGAAGCTTTGTAATTTGCCTCTTGGATTGTTGCTAAACTGGGTTTCTCTGTCCTATAGGGGACTCCTGAATGGTGATTCACAAGCCGAGATTTATGACTTGCTATGTCCAAAGAGACAAGCAAAATATTTATTTCTGTCATTTTTCTCAAGAAGTTGAGTCACTCACATATCTCTCTTAGAACTTAAAAGGCTATAGTTTTAAGTAATTTTATGACACTCTTCATAAGTGGATATAAGCTGATAGCAAAGCAGTGTTAGAATTCTACTTGCAAAGCAGTAACATTCACATACATTTTCTTGTTTGATCCTTACAAAAACTCTATGAGATTTTAATATCTTTTTTCCCCATTTTATATGAATGAATGAAGCAAACAAAGTGGTTGAGGAATTTACCAAAGGGCCTGCCCTTGGTGAGTGGTGGAACTGGAATTCAATTCATGTCTGTCAGATGCCGCACTCAAGTTCTTAACTCTCAATTTTCAAATATCGGGGACCTTTCTCAATAACCCAGACAGGCCTCTGGCAAATACTGCTGAAATACTTGGTGTACAACTATACACTAAAGTCCTCTATCCACCTGTAAAAATGTACCCGAAGCTACTTTTCTTGATACTCTCTGTGCCTTTCAACCCTCTCAGAGAGTGCTATTTTATTTCCTGAGCACCATCCATGTGCTGGTTAGTGCAAGAAAAGTTACTTTTAGCAAGATGTCTTTTCTGGGGGTCAGTTTCATAAATGCAGCCACATCAGCTACCCTTCAATGGGATCCAGCTGAGTCTGACTGAATCATCACTGGGGTAATGAGCTGAAAGCAGGTTTTGTTTCACTGAAGCTAAGACCCTACAATACCCATCTCAGGATCTCCTAAGAGGAGGGAAACCACTAGGGCCAAGTCACTGGCCGAGGTGGAGGAGGAGGGGATGGGGGAGGTGATGGAATTTGGATCCCGGGAATCAGAATCAGACTGCTCAGTGTTTTTGAAGACTGGCATTCACCTGTGGACAATATTTTCCTTGAGGATTCTCCTAGAAAAATTCTTTTAGTGCCTCCAGCTGTTCCTTAACCTTCTGGTCAGGTCTTCACAATTCAAAAATAACTGCCAGAAGTTATTCAGGTAATTTTTGTTAATTCAAGTCAAGCACTTGCTCCCTCTTACTTAAGTTGCCTGTGGCTGCTTCACTAAAGGACTGTTTCATCACTAAACACTGGACTTCACCTAATAACTCTGTTGGCAGTGCAGATATCCAGAAATTTTATAGGATACTTGGTAGTAATGATTGTAGTAAGAAGCATTTCATGGGAATTTATTCTCTTCTTTAAAAGAAATATAGACTATAAATAGTAGACTCTGCCAGAAGAAAAAGATTAAATCTTAGGCTGGCTGAATTGGAGAATTTTTGTGTTTTTATATTTCACTGTATCATTTTGATTTCAGTTTGCAAAGCTTTAGAAGTCTTTAAATAAATACAGTTAAGAAGAAAACCTTTTCTGTGAGCTAAAGAAGCATTTTAGTATTTGTTCTGGTTTATTTTTAATTTCTTGCCTACTAAAAAACTATAAAAGTTATTTTCTAAAATAAGAAGTAGTAATGGCTGATAAACCCCCCAAAAAGTTTTGTATCTAATTATTGCAATTTTTTTTAAATTTGTGAATTAAAAACGAGAAAGAGAATTAAAAAACGAGAAAGAGAAAGAGAGAGAGGGGAAAAAAGCCCGTAAAATATGTCAGTGAACTTAATCCCCCAGGGAACCTTCTGAAAAACTGTGTGGAACCCACCTTAGAATTGTCCCACCAGGGAATAGGGAAGCCAGTCCCAGTAGTTGAAGATGGTGTTGACTCTGCATTTCTGATTCCCGTGGTACTAAGCGTACCTGTGGGGCTGCAGAAGGGCCTCCTGTGGAGAAGCAAAGACACAGGAGGTGTCAGTCAGATGGCAGCTGTTGCTACAGCCACAGGAAGGTAAACTTAGATAAGGATGGGTGTGGCATATGGGGTGGGGTGTTAACAGTTTCTGTCAAACAGAAACTGGATTGAACCGTGAAGGGTGAGCTTCCTAATATTTCAACCATGAGTTATGCCTACTTAGCTGCTCCATCACTGGTCTCAGGCACAGGGCAGACTCTGCCCCCGTACACTTGCTCATGGAACAGAAGCAAAAAGCACCTTGCCTCAGGCAGGTGCGTGCAAGAGAAAAGAGGAGTGGGCTGAGGCAGGCCTGCTTGCTAGTCAGGTAAATCACGCCTTCCTGGAGGAGGAGTGTCAGAGGAGAAAGAGAGGGAGGGCCCCAAGAAAAATCAAAGTATAAAAGCTAATACTGCAATTAAAAAGAAGAAGAAGAGGGGTGCCTGGGTGGCTCAGTCGTTAAGCGTCTGCCTCCAGCTCAGGTCATGATCCCAGGGTCCTGGGATCCAGCCCCGC